CCAACCAAAGCAGGGAAGCATGTTCCATATTAGTCTGGCCTCCAATGTTGATATAAGAACCAAGTCTCTCAGGACTCTTTCCAACTGTAGAGTTGAGGTCAAGAGGTCACATTCTCAAGTCCATTGCAATATTACAGGTCCTTTGTGCTGTGGCTGTCAATACAGCTGTCAACCACACGCCCGCACGTAAATTAACAACTCAACAAAATATGGCAGGCCTGTCACTTTTACTGTGCAGACTCATCTAATGTTGATTACTTGCCGGTTTCTTCTAATAAATGGTCATGAAAGTTTAGAATATGCATGGATGTAAACATTTCTGAGCTTAAATCAAATCACAAATATGATTGTGGTACTGCACAAATCGACTATTGTCCTCGTCTACGTACACAAAGGAACAAGCAAACGCATACTGAATTGTAAGCTAAATTCAGTTACACAATATATTCCAGAAAGCACACTTCTGTATAAATAATGCAACACCATGCAGCGTCGACTGAAGCAAAATTGCATTCCAATTGAAAATAAATGAAGGCAGGTGACAAATCTGCAGCTTTTTCTGCATGGCACAAATATCCAGGGAGACACAATATGGAAACTGTTGTCAAATTAAAATGCATGACCACCGTGCGGTGACAATATCGTTTGCTAAAAATGTGAAAAGGCGACTTGGCAAAAGCGTGAAATGGAAGGGCAGGAAATCCATTAAGCAGCGAGACACGCTGAAGTGAAATAATAAATAGCAGCACTAAGAGTGTCATTTGTAGCCGACGGCAAAACACTTAGAAGACGCTTTTTAGAGAAAAAAAAGTAGAAAAATTTAATGTACATGTCACAGAAGGCAGAAAGGTATCGATGCTTCTGCAACTGTCATGGTGGACTGAATATGGCTCCAATTTAGTAACTTAGTGAATGAAAAAAATGCTTGAGGGAAAAAAATGTTTATTCCAATTTTCTTTGAACCAAATGCTAAGACATTGATGAAGCTTATTTGTGTTTAGTTTCAATAGACTGGATTTCTTTTTAAAATACAAAGCAGACCTCACATGTATCTCAGATAAGAAGAGACCGTGCTAATATTTGCAATTAAATATTGAAATACGAGGGTGAACGTGTCAATTGGTTAGAGTTGGGTACACCAACGGTTGCTTGGAGACAAGATAAGAATCCAGAGAAATAGTGTGTCTTATACCTGTCAATCAATGTCATTCTAATCATCAAAATAATCCAATCTCACGTTAGATTCAAGTGGATATAGTCAGTGTGTCATGGTCTGAAGAGCTGTTAATTGAAAAAGCGGCCATCTTAGAGATACAAAGTCTACTGCACTCAGTATCAGGTTCATATAGGCAGGTGCAGGCTCAGTTGATTTATACAGCATCTGCATGAGGAAATGCCAGCATATACTCTAGGAACCAGACCAAGATGGTGTCCAAATAAGGACCACTTTAACAGTCTGTCACTGACTACACTGCCGTGACCTTTTCTTTAGCTGTAGACATGCACTTCAGGTCAGAGCCTAAAAGCAAAATTTTCTTAAGTAGTCAGATACCCATAATGAAGTGATAACCATATTAAAGACAACTTTTATGAAATCAGGGGCGCAGACGAAGATGGTTGCAATGTAAAAGAAATGAAAAATATTTTACAATTTAATAGGCGTTTACACATATAGGCCTGTAGCTTATTCTTTTGCCACTGTCGGATGTCTATGCAATTTGATGACAAAGAAGGTAAAAATATATACTTCAATCACAGTACTGACGAACTGCAACGGCAGGATTTTACACAAATTTGATCGTACAAGATTCTCGTAAGCTTCACTGATCATCTAGTTACTAGATGTAAAGCCCCGTCAGTCTAGCTACATTGTAACCCAAGCCACAGCCCCTCCCCAATCCCTGAATTGATCCACAGTCATTTCATTTACATCGTCAACAGTGTTACAATCAGTTGCAATCAATTACGTCAGGTAAGGGAAGACAGCGAGTACATGAGACAGGATCGGGTCGATTGTGAGGAGATTGGAAGAGACAAATTGGATGGTTGGACTGTATACTGTCTGCGCAACCAATTGCAAATCTCTGCTAAAATACACCCCAGGCCCATCACACAGTGTACGTGTTTTAAAAACTCATTTTAAATACAAGTTAAACTTGAGTGTCAGCAAACATTGCTTTATAGTATAAAATCGAGCTTAGTAAAAGAAGATATCCATTCTATTAATTGTTGTCTGCTGAAATTCTTAACTTGAAGCATAACGTCTAAACTAAAGCTTTAAATCTGACCAAATATGGTATACTACTGCATGTACATGCCCTATTAAGTTGTGGGAATTTATAAATTGAAATAACAAATGAGAGACCATCTTGTAACTGTCAATGCAATTACATGAACATGGAATGGTGATGGATTTGTTAGAATGCTTCAAATAAAATATTTCAACATCTGTTTTTTTGTAGCGCAGGAATAATTCAAACCAGTTGTCATGATGATTCGATCCTTGATTAAAATGAACGCACATGTTGTCGCGATGTCGCATCTACTCATCCGAATCAGAAGATCGGCATCAATGAATCTACACATGCTACGATTTAACCCAGAAATTTATTTCGCCTTTTCTGAAATCAATTTTTTTTTTTCATGATGTCATCATGTATCGCCACGGTGAAGTTTAATATAGCCTGTCATTCAACCACAAATCCAGCCCTTCCTCCCGTCTAAACCCAGGGAAAATGTTTTCAATAATGGATATTTTTCCTGCGATTAGCGAGTCAGGCTGCGTTAGAGAGCTAGTTAACACGCTGCAGCCCAAGCACACTCGGTAACTGTCTGTCTACCGGTGCCAGCATTGCATTGCTCGAGTTGGCCGCACTTCAATGCTGACATACCGAATTGCGTTTCGTTTTTTTTTCCTTTTCTTTCAATCCGTACAAAGTCCTCTAAACATTCCACTCAGGGCAGTGAGACAGCTCGCTGTAACTCACCATCAGCAAACCAGCTTGGATATGATGCATGCCCGGCCAAAGAAATTGCCTGATTGTTCTTCAAGTGTGAAAAGGGTAAAAGTCCACATGCATAGAATTGCTTTTTCTTTGGTCATTTTGTAGCTGATGGAAAGTCTATTATTATGCTTGGTAATTGGCTGGCAGTGAAAGGAAGTTAATATTGACAGGATAATATGGAAGAGAAATGATTACGCTTTCATCAAAACAGTATACGTGTGCATGACAGGTGGCAAGAGGAAGAATTACAATTTTCATATCCCTTACCACCCCCCCCCCCCAAAAAAAAAAATAAAGTATTACAAAACCTGAGAGGCAACTCGGCATATCTTGCTCTCAAATTTCTGACCATTTTTCATGCGTTTTAATTAAGGGGGTATTTATTTATTTTATTCATTTCTCTCAGCCAACAGCGAATAACCGCCAATTACAGGCCGAGTAAAAACATTTAGTATTTATTTATTATTGCAACATTTTTACTAAATTCATAATTTTAAAGGTTTTTTAAAGTCAATTAATTTTTGCTTTGAAGCTTGCTAGAATGGGACTTATTAAAACAATTTATTTAATATTTTGATATAAATGGTAGAAATTGACCTAAATCACATACATGCTGTAACACAAGTTGGCTCAGGGGGTCATCAGGTTTGAATTTGGTTTTCTCATTTTTGATTCCACTTTTGGAATTAATCCAAAACTTTTACTGACCATTTCTGTCAAACATTTTCCAATGTTTAAGCAGTCATATTAATGTGTACCTATTAATGATAACATCACGGTTTTATCAGTTCCAGTTAGCTTGAATGCCTATGTACCTTCTCCAGCAACTGACACCCACACTGTCGTCGTAAATATCCCGTTAATTTATCACCTCCTACCCAGCTCCATCAATTATCCCTTCCCATGCCCTCACCTCCTTTCTGGCTTTATTTTTCCTAGTTTGATGCCAAAATGCCGACAAGACCAATGTTGCCTTTATTAGCACTCCGACAGGAATAACATTACACACTGGATACTGATGTGATAACCCCGTTACCATGGCGACGTGTCATGAATCACAGAGACCAGACTACCCTAGTGACAGGATTTGTAAACTCGACTGCCAGATATATTGTATACATTCAAATCATATGCACATGGCCTATTTTTTCTTCTTGTCGACTGTAAATTTTCAGCCGAGATTGCTTCCGTGGGTGTTTATGCATGCTCCGGTGAAGGTTAAGGCCAAATCTGAATATAGAACTGAGAATTTATGGAGGAAATATGACAGCCCATGTTCTTTTACATGATATGATATGATTCGAGAGGGACCATGGTTTGAATGTTGCAACAGGAAAACTACTGTAAAAACAAGAAGTCTTCTATTTGAATGTTAGCTAAGACTGAAAATGTCTGTCGTAATACCTTTTGAAAATCTAAGGATTCCCAACCTTTTGATTAGTGAATTTCATGAATAACCCTCCTATGCAAACATACGGTACATTCTGTGCTAAGTTGTCCTTTCAGTCAAAATCAATCAAGTGACTGTTTAGAGTTAAGAGCTCCCTGCCTACATAAAGCAGTATTGACTGGTTGCGACTGTTTTTGTAGTTTGATGCAGCTATGCTTTGACTGTAGGTGATTGATAAGCCAGCTGTGCCTACCACTTGCCTGCTTTTGTCAGTTGACTCAATTTGACTAGTCACAGTGCTTGCTTATATGACCTGACTGTTGGTGACTAGCCTGTGTGAAAGGCATGGCAGGGGAAGAGGATGATTTTTTTGACTGTCTGTGACTGTTCAAACAGCAGGAGGGTTACGTTTCTTTCCAACATTGACATTTTTAGAAGTTGATCTGAATCCAAACTTGACAACAAACTTTCAGAGTTTATGATTAAATTTCTTTTCCTAAATTGAAATTTTCAATCTCTGATTTAAATCTTACCTCTTCTGACAGACAATAATGTATTTTTCCCCTATTTGAAATTTTCCACCTCAAATTTGGTTCCGTACTTACCAATTACTGTGAGCGTGTAGTTCAGACTGACACTCCCAAATCCATTGGTAGCTCTACAGACGTACTGACCAGCATCCTCCATCTGCACATTCTTAATCTTCAAACCGGCCGATAAGACTTTGAATCGTTCCCAGAGCGTGTTGATGGATTCTCCATCTTTCTTCCACATTGTCAATGGGGGCGGGTTACCAACAACTGGACACAACAGCTTGATCTTGCGGCCCACTCGAGCTTTTTGGAATCCTATGATGGGTTGGTCCAAGCGTGGTGGTCCTGAAGATAAGTGCAAATAAAACAAAAAGAAAAGAAACGCTTTTAATTTAAGGCAAATAATAAAAACATGCAGTTTACATAACCCCTTTAAGGAACAGACAATTGCTAGGAGTGCGTTTAACCAATATTACAATGCAAATTCTTCAACGACGAAATGCAATGAATCTTTCAAAAAGAATTCATTCCTGAGAAAGTATTAAACACAAAGGTGTATTCTTTTCTTGAGCACACTAACAGAATATTCTTGAATGTAGTTTGACTGACTGCTTTCAATATCTTTTAGTTACTGTAAATTACTTACTTGCCTTTTCACGCTAGTTATAAAATTTGTGCTAAGGCAACCTTTAACCAGCTAAACATGTTCAACCAAAAATCTTGAGATGATTAAAAGCTGTTGAATATGTTCGTGCTTGAATAACATCCCAGAGACCTGCTGAAATCTGTCTCTTCACCCTCCAACCAAATCCTGACAAGTCCTGTATCGATCATGAGAAGCCTGACATAACCGTTGCAGACACCTCCCCAGGTGAAGTATGGAGACTGATCCACGGACTGACAGAATGATTGGATAGTTCTGCCGCTCAAAGCAGGACAAGTCTGTTCCTCTCACTCGCTCGCTCTCTCCCCAGCGATAAGAGGAGGAGAGACCTCCCGACTATCTCAGATTGATCGGAGAGAAGCAGAGAGGCCCTCAGGGAACCGGTGAGAGTGGAGGGAACCGGTTAAGGACAGGAGCGTCAATACCGTAATGGCTATAATGGGGAGGGAAGTGGGTTGACTATGGATATAGGGCAAGGTGGAAAACGCGAGTAACTTGTTGAGAATTATGCATCGCTGGGTTTGCTGAAATGCAACAAATTGCCTCAGTCTGCTTGTATTGTACACCACTAGTGCTCAAGAAAATCTTTTATTCAAATATTGCAACCTACATTGTATGTACACTAAGACGAAAATCAATGCCGTTGTCGATGATTTTATCTCCATAAGGGATTGTATTAATGGGATCGGACAAAGTTTTCAATCAACATACAGGAACATTACCCAGAATTGTGGAAAAAACTTCCAATATCTGCGACTCAAATTTTATGACACTGTATTTTTTTATTTTGCTGCAAAAAAAACAACAAGCGTATTTCTAAATTTTACAAAAAAGTCAAACGTATGTAGCAAAACAACAAAAATATCTGCAAGGAATTTTTGAACACATTTTGCATTGGTAGAATCTTACCAGCCAAGTTGCAGAATTCAAGTTGATAATCAATATTGTTTGATTTCTCGGTCATGCTAACTCTTCATTAATTAACAGAGCCCAGAAAGCTAGTTTCTAAACCGAACTATGATCGTGAAGTTGGGAGGGTAGTCAAGAATGGTACTTTAGGGGTATAGTATGAGTCATCACTATTAGTCAGGCTGTCACGTAGAGCACCAGGACACCCTAGGGTCTAAGTCTCTACCCTACCATACTACAGATTAATTTTTGATATTATTGAATGGCACCTGTATGGCCCATGGGAAGTCGGACACACAGCCGACGGCAATTTTTTTTTTCCTTTCTTGCATTTTAAAGTCGATGCTCATGTGGGAAATACATTTCTCTAGCGAGATTGGGAGGGAGTAATTCGCTACGGTCCAAGCAAACAAATAACATAGAAAAATATGTACTGAGGATCTACTCCCAGGCAAGATTCTGCAAAGTAGAATGGATGTTTGTGGACGCAACACGCTACGGAGAATTTCAGGGAAGATTAATATTTTACCGGGATGAACTGAACAAACTTTTCCTCCAGACACATTCCTTGCAGCTAGCAGCAAGCCAGCAACCGTGTCATAATGGATGAATGTGGTAGACTGGAGCTGTGATTCCCAACACTAATTAATGTGCTCCCGGTCAATCAATTAACATTGACAACAGACAGGTGGATTGGGGGGCGTGGCTGTCATTTGCTGCTCTCCTCTGCAGCCCAAGGGTCGTCCAGTCTGCCCTGAAGGGTGTTTCATTTTAATTAAACTCGCCCTGATGATTCAAAGCTGTTTATTCGCCTGGGAAAAGGATGAATAAATGATTCACGGAACACGTTGCAATGAGATTTATAGAGGATGGGTGATTAACTATTTTCAATTCATGAGCTGCTTCAGTTGTAAATCAAGAATGTCATTAGTAAGGCAGAGTGCTAAACTTTAACCTACTGTGTGAAATAAAACTGCTCCCAATTTTAAAGCATTCATTAAATTAATCTCAAATGTGTTTCATTAGCAAAGTGGAATAGATTTCACCGAAATCATCGCTAGTTATTCATGAGTTGAAGATTGCTTGTATTTTGTTTGCCTCTCATGACCTTTGCATACCCGCATGACCTGGCAAACTCTGTCTCGTTAGCCACTATTCACACACGGATAATTTGATTGGTCATTTATTAACTCTCCTGACAAACTCGGTAAACAGTGTCGGAGCTATTGCCGAGCTTGATGGGGTCAAAAGAATTGCACTGGAGAATATTCTGGCTTAATCTGAAGGGTATGGTTATAATAGCACCTCGCCAATGGATAGTTAATAGGCAGGCCTGTATGCTGGTCTTAAATTGTACAGACAAATGCATGCTCACAAGAAATTTTGTTGCTCACAGATTTTACTAGCTGTCGTTTTGGATGAGAAATTAGGCAAGGAGCTAATGCTACATTTACTTGCAAGACTTTCATTCAAACCAATGACTTTTTAGTCATGATTCTTAAAATCTCTAGCCCTGATGATTGTGGATAAGATGTAGCTCAGATACAATTTGACGATCCAATCATGATTTTCTACAAAATAAAGACTGAATAGCGACAAACTGCTATAAAGGAGGAAGGAGTCTTCGCAAGAAGGGAGTAAATTTCAATTTCTTGGCAGCCTAAGTTTGTCAAGGAAAAAACTTCAATCAGATTTAATGCAAGACGTCTTCTCCTGACTAATACTGGTTGTCATTTTTCTCCCGGCCTAACAGCCATCAAACTACGAAGTCGATACATCTTCCTTGGAGCATTGCTACTCTGTCAAGAAACGACCTGTTCCGGTGTTCCCATCTCCTAATTGATTCCTCCGTGTCACCCCCTAGCCCACCAGACCCAACCTGCTCTATCTGTTTTATCAAGTCGGCATTGAGCTTCCCCCTCGTTTGTCAGAATGTGAATTCAATATCCCCACGAAGCATGATATGATGGTGCCCCTAGCTGACTCAAGGAGAGATAACGCCCATTCTTGAACATAAATCAGATTCTCTGCAAATCTTGAAGGAAGGACGAAAAAACAGGAAATAAAGAAAATATGGATAAATTAAGTGCTAATTCCCAGAATATCTCAATTCATGGTAACCTAATGATTCTTATTAAAGATTGGAGATTGTTAATATTTCAAGGTGGAACATCTGTGGTAAGACAAGATCCAGATGTTCTGAACTTTGTTCAAATGTATTTAGAATTTCAAACTAAAAGTTCAGTTTTTTCCCCTTTTTTTTTGGAAGGGGGGGGGGGGAGGAGGAAAAACTTTTTAATTAAATACTTTGGTACCAGCTTACAAGCTTTTTAACACCGAACCATCCAATTGTAATTATGGACAAAGCCAGCAGCAGGTTTGTGATGCACCTTAATTCATCTTAATTGATGTTGTACATGACAACTGACCACTTTAGACTGGTCAGCAAGCACATCGGACCAAACGCCGACATGGACAAGCAAATTGATCCAACGGCTTTTATGAAAAACCATCCATCATCTTTCTTTCCTTGAGGCCATTGTCGCTCCGTTTCTCCATGCCAACATCTCAATCAGCACTGCAATCTCCATCCTGAGTCTCCACGGCAACCATTTCCCTAAAACATCCTGATTTGGGCACTAATTGCAAAATGAAGTGATCGATCACTTGTCACATTTTGGTCAGAACACCATCCATCACAAACAGAAAATTTATGCCTTGTCAGGTTTTAGCCGTCCAGAATTAAAATGCTTATGATTTCCTCAGCTTTATCAAAGTACTTATTACATTAGTCAAGTCCCTACAATTTTTGCACCAATTTTATATTGAAATTGCATTTTGAGGTTGGGTTGTTTTCTTTTGTTCCTTGTTTTTTTCTCTCCTTTACTATGTGGATAACTACTAAGGTTACATCAATTTTAATTTTCATTCAGGGTTGATATAGTTTCCACCAATCACAAAGCAACTGTTTAGGTGTTGTTTCAATAAAAAAAACCTCAATATCCCATGCTACACGTATTTTTAAACTTCAACTGGTTTTAATATACAATGTACATGTACATGTAATTGTGAATATAAACGGGTCCTAAGCAATTTTCTTTTCCAAACATACTTGCCTAAGATTATTCCCTGTGGACACAAGGACTGTTTAGATTTGTAACACACTCAGCAGGGGAGTCAGGTGACACCTAGAGTGACCCTGATTGGCCCCTCACTCAGCTCCAATGACCTTTGACCTAATAGTAATAGCAATAGATACAACCTAGAAACCTATTCAACACAAACATCCCAAATTGGTCAAGGCAACACTGGTGCCAAAACCAAAGGGGAAATCACAGATTTCTTTCCTTTTTCATGATTATCTTCTTAAATCTATACACCTTTTTTGAGATTTTTTTTGAGGGGGGGAGGAGATTTCTAAAATGCTGTCAAATTGTGTTCCGTCTTCAACCTCCAAAATTATTTCCGGAATAAACGATTTACAATTAAGTGTTGGTTACTGATTCTAAATTGACGTGTTCAATTGAATTTTTCCTGATATATTTTCTGACCTGTCTATGTAATCCAATTGCCAGATATCTCTTGTAATCTCCCAGCGCGTTTTATTTTCAATCGCAGCGTTAGCACCCATACCAACAGGTCATTACTGCTGACATTTACGGCTGCTGAAGGTAGCTTAAACATTTATGAGGGGCTAAGTCATAAATCACCAGGCAGGAATTATTGCGTGGTGCATCCATGATGCTGCATGGCGTACAACAAGTCTCACTGG